GTGATTCATTATAAATAGTGATGAAGATGGAAGTTGAATTAATTCCAATCTCCAACCTTATCTACGAGCTAGAAAGAATAGGTTTGGATTCACACAATTTCGTCATCACTGGACAATTAAAAAAACAAAAACTACGATGTCATCAGCCGATTTCGAAAGATTTATCGTCCACGGAGAAGAGAATACAGCTGGGACAAGATGGAAAAATGGATTTCCAAAGTGGATAATCTATTTGTAGTACTGGATATCAATTCGGACAGACGAAAAAAGGCAATACTTTTATTACGGAGGAAATGACATAACCGAAGTATACGACACCATGACAGATGAACAAAAAGGGACTAAAACTCCCATGACGTAAGGTGACAACCCAACACCAAACAATATATTAAAAAAATCTTTTAATAGTCACTTCATACCCAAGCAAAATGTTGTGTATGAAACTTCCAATTTTCGTCAAAACAAAACAAAACGAAAAAGTATGGAATGGATTCATACCACATTCGGCTACTTGCTGCCGCAGAAAATTGTGAGTTTCATTACATGGAAAATGAAATCCTTGGGCAAATAATCCTAGGATGCATGTCACAAAGACTTCGTTGAAAGTTCTAAAAGACAATCTAATTCTCCCACAGCTACTTGATGAGGCTTGTGGTATTGAACTTTCTGAAAGCTGTGCTGCCTCAATAGAAAATAAAACTAATACAGCGAGCACTGAACAAAACGCTATTCAAAGCCGAAATATGCCAAGGTCAAGAAGCTCAGAATCTAACCAACATAGTCCTCACAGCCCAGAATGTCACCATAGCAGCCCGAGGGCTTCCTATTAAAAAAAAAAAAGTCCAAGACAAAATTTTCCCCAGGCTTGTTAAAAAATAACCGACTATAAATTTACTGCAATGCACCGCAGCCTCGCCCCAGATCAATCTGTCCAGCAAATGGAAAAATGTGTAATAGGGGAAAATTGAACACTTTGTGTGTTTCTCTGGCTCAAAAGTAAGACAGGTCCAGTTCTAACCTTCATTTGACCTCTCTCAATCTGATAATGAATCTCTGTTCTTAGTTGGTGTTCTTTCAACACCATCCTCATCAATAACCTTACTCAGGATTACGGCATCCATCCACAAAAAAAAAAAAAAAAAACAGTTTCATAATTGACACAGGTGCCTCAGTAAATATTTGGGAAAAATTGGCATATGAATCACTTGGCCCCATGGCGCCATTACTCCAAAAGCCTGTACCCAAACTTTATGCCAAATAAAAATCAGCTACAAATCGTCAACAGTTGAGGCAATTTTTTATGTTATACACACAAATGGATACACCAACCTGATGAACAGTAAGACAGTTCAACAACTAAACCTGATTCATTTTTCTCTACAGACAGGCCTGACAAGTATACCTGTAACACCAGTTGCTCAAATTCATCACCATGTTCCTTTCCATGTTCACAAATAATGTAGAAAATGAACTAGAAAGACTAGAGAGTCTGGACATAATAAAAAAGTTTGAAGACCCAACAACATGGGTCAGCCCCATAGTTGCTGTTCTTAAAACAGGTAGAGTGCATCTTTGCATAGACATGTGTGGAAGCCAATCGCACAATTAAGCAAATCAAACACCCAATGCTGACTATTGATGACCTGATAGCAGATTTAAATGGCGCAACAGTTTTCAGCAAGCTGGACATGAAAAATGCATACCATCAGTTAGATGAGGCAAGCAGATATATCACAACATTTACCACGCATGTGGGTCTCAGAAGGTACAAAAGACTACTATTTGGAGGCAACGCAGCAGCTGAGATATTCCAGAATACAATATCGGAACTTATGCAGGACATCTCAGGAGCAAAAAATCTCTCAGATGATATCATTGTTTATGGAAAAAACCAAACAGATTACGACAGAAACCGAAAACACACTCTAAAGAGACTTGATGAGAGTGGGGCAAAACTCATCAGAGGAAAATGTCTCTTCTCGGTTAAGAAGTTAAGATTCTATGGTCATGTATTTAGAGAGACTGGAATCACTCCAGACTCGGCGAAAATTCAAGCCATCATTAACTCTGCTCTACCAGCATCAGAGACTGAAGTTCAGTTATTCCTGGGCATGACACAATTTGTTGCCAGATTCATCCCAGGATATGCCACTATCACAGAACCCCTAAGAAATTCGACAAAGAAATCCACAATCTGGAAAAGGGGAAAACATGAGCTTTCAACAAAGTAAAAGAGACACTCACCAGTAGTAAGGCCATGTCGTATTTTAACCCCAACAAACAAACAGAAATTCTGGTGGATGCCAGCCCAGTAGGGCTAGGAGCAATCCTTATACAAGAAGGTCACCCCCTTTGCTATGCGAGTCAATCCCTCACAGAAACAGAGCAGAAATACTCAGACTGATAGAAAATATCTAGCAGTTGTGTATGAAGTCAAACATTTCCATCTTTATCTGTTTGGAGCCCATTTGACAGTCATTACAGACCACAGGTCACTCATTGGAATCATGAACAACAGAAACCCCACCATAGCCAGGCCAGAGAGATGGCATCTTCACTTAACGCCATCCAGCATGGATCTGATATACAGACCTGGACGGAATGAAAACAAACCTGCTGACTACATCAGCAGACACCGCTATGAAATACCCAGACATGATAATGCAGGAGAAGCATATATTGCTTATATTGTGGAAAATGCAATACCCAAATCCCTCACTTTGAGAGAAGTGATGTTTGCTATTGGAAAGGACCAATAACTCCAAAATGTGATGCAAGCCATACAAACTGGCCATTGGGATAGATCCAAAAATAAAGGATTTCAGCAAATTCAAAGATGAATTTTCCATTTACGATGGGCTTATCCTCAGACAAAATCGCATAATTATACCTGCAACTCTACATTAGAAGACCATAGCCATTGCCCACCAGGCTCACCAAGGCATAGTCAAAACAAAACAATGCATCAGAGAAAAGGTGTGGTTTCCTGGAATTGATAGGTTTGCAGGAGATACAGTGAAATGCATACCATGCCAGGAATCTCACCTAGGCCACAATCCATATGAATCTCTAGAACCCACCACCACCAGAACCATGAAATTCCTTTGCCTTTGATTTTGCTGGCCCTTTTCCCTCAGGTGACTACTTACTTGTAGTCATAGACGAATACAGCTGGTTCCCTGAGGTAGAAATAATCTCAACCACCTCGACAAGAACAGTCTTGCCAAAACTTGAAGTCATTTTTTTCACGCTAAGGTATCCCTTCCTCTGTCAAGAGAGACAATGGTCTTCCATTCAATGAGGAAGAATTTTCCAGTTCTATGCATGAGTTTGGTATACAACACAAAAAATAAGACCCTTCTGGATAAAAGCAAATGAGGGGGTGGAATGCCTCATGACCACTCTCAACAAAAATATCAGATCATGCGTAGCTGAGGGCACACACACATGGAAGTCTCAACTACCCACATTTCTTTGTATGTATAGGGGCACTCCTCATACTTCCACCAAAATTTTCCCTTTTGAGGCACTCACAGGTAAAAAGTTGAAAGTCGGCATACCCTCTCAAACTCCAACCCTGAACTACCCATATGATAACGAAAAGATTTCTGCCAATGACTATATCAGAAGATGTGTGAGTATGCTGACAAAAAAAAGGAAGACCTGTCCTCAACATTTCAACCTGTAAAATTTGTTCTAGTGAAGCAACAAAAAAAAAAAAAAAAACAAATTAACACCACCATTTTCCCCCTCTGCCAAATCACCCAAAGGAAAGGCAGCATGGTAACATCACAATGTGGTCAGAACAATGTAGCACGCAATTCATCTCAATTTAAAAACCCATGAAAAGTTTATCACCTACTTGCCTTGAAAGAGAAGAAGACGAAAATGACGAAACTTAGTTTGAGAGGCACATTGCCATCCAGCTCACATGCCATCTTCAGCTGAAATCAGCACTGATACTGTACCCACATCATCACAAATTTCCACCCCTTTGCTTGAACCGGAGACTTCATCACCCACAACTCCAGTGGTTGTCCCTAGATAACACTCCAGACCACAACGCCAAAGACAACCCCCAATTTACCTAAAAGACTATGAAACTTGATTGTACAAAAAAAAAACATCCTAATTTGAAGTCCTTATGCAAAATAGGGGAGGATTGTTGTGCTCATTAAGAATGATAAATCACTATTTTACTTAAATAGAGTTATCACCCTAGCAAAGAAAGAAAAGAGAACTCTCTTGGTGGGAGTCTTGTTTTGTAGGTAGTTTGCTATACCGCCATTTTGGTGAATAAACCCCTGTTATTTGTTTTCCTCCGAGTTTGTGATTCATTATAAATACAATACTGCCGTAGTTTGGTCAACATTCTTAATTGAAGATGATTAATCCATGTGATGATATATACTCTAATCTAATTGTTATTCTAATATGTACTCAAATATTTATATTTATCAATTAGATTAATACGCAACCTGAAGATGATGTAAATATATGGCAATCAAAGGAGTATGCCAAAATAATAAAATCTTGTCATCAAAAGATAAAAAAAATCTATATTGATTAAAAGAAATTCTTTAAAATTAGAAATCAAAACGTTATAAAAAAAATAAAAGTTAATGTAAGATCAAATTTCTAAGAAATTAAAGGAAAACAAAACCTTCACAAACCCTTTTTATTTAACAAACCCTTTTTATTTACTACTACTGTTACTTCTGATGATGATGAGGAGGAGGATAAAAATTTGTTTCTAATTTTAAATACCGATGATTATAAAACACGTTAATAATTTCAAATTATGATGATGAAAATATTTGTAATTTCAAATACTGCCTTATTCCTGTTTTATTTCAACATCATACCAACAATAAAAACAGCTGAAGACATGATGAAACATTCTTCCAGGCGAATAATCAGGAAATGATCGATATCTGAAGCTTCTGATTTAAGCAGTGGATTTTGTGGGCTGGAAAAGACATATTGGTTTGGATCCTCATTCAGCTCCTGCGAAGACGTCTTTTTTGACGTTTCGCACGCTTATTTCGTTCCCTTCTGGTTTTTTTTGCAAGTCCCTTAGTAAAAGCCTTCAATCCAACAAATGTTTCTTCGCTTGTCTTCGGAATGAGCCGGCTGGGCAACAAAAATCCATATAAACCATCATCTGGAAGTTCCACTGTGTAAGCGTATTTGATATGACGATCGGCCTTGGCATAGTCGTCTGAGGCTCCGCTTGCAATGTCTGAAAAATAGGCATAAGTTTTAAATTGATAATTAACTAGCAATAATTAAAATATATAGAAACAATACAATACGAATCAAATTTTGGGAAAACCTTTGATAGGAATAATTGTACAATACTCATTTCGGCACCAAGTAAAAGATAATCTCAAGCATCAAGTTGCGAGATGAACTTACTAATAAAAGCTATACAGCAGTTTCTCGATATTAAACTTTTGAAATAATGAAAAATTGTCATATTTAAATAAACACTGAACTAGCTTTAGTAAATCACTTTTTCTTCTATAAGTCGTGCTTATTTAATCGTTATGAAATATTTATATTATTTATCTTTTGATAGATCAGCTTATAATTGTTATAGCAAGGAGGACAACGTTGGATGAGACATTTGCGAGTGATGCCGTGCTAACGTTTACCAGTCGTAGAAGCCCGTTAAATTACTTTCGTTTCTTCTGGAAAAAGAATAAGTTCGAAGATTTCCAGTTATTCAAATACTATAAACCTAATAAAAATATATGAAATTTATAAAACAGTAAAGTAAGCCATAACGCCATCCTAATTTGCATTGGTGGAAATTTTAAACGTGTTTTTAAACATGTTTTTCTTGTACTTTCACTTTGTTAATAAAGTCGACTCAATTTATTTTTTAATAATGATTCTTAACGTTTCTTTTTTAATATCTAGACTTGAATGCCGGCGACTGGTACTAATAGAAAATATGCAACTACTTAGAATCAAAACCAGTACATTTTAATGACCTTCACATTAATTTTAAATGTATTTATCGATCGTAATTGGCAGTTGTTTCAAGTATAGCAAATTTGGGTATAAAAATTCAGATGTTATTTGTAGTATCCTTCCACTCATTAGAGTAGAAGGAGCTCTTCATATTAAGCTTGGTTTAATATGGTACAAGGTCACAAACTTAATGATGGTTTGCAAGATGGGTTTGTTAAGCATTATTCAACGGTGAGGCATCCTCATGGCAAAACACACAAATAAATAAAAAGTAAAAACAAAAATAAATTAATAAAGGAAAATTATTCAATTCGTTGCACACGCACATGAATTAATGTTTATTCTTGAAAAAAAGTAACTAATGGAAATTGGAGTAGATCTTTGATCACGGTGTGTCTTCGTTACGGGGTTAATAGAAGGAATTTTCTATCCAGATTGAGAAATTCATATGATAAAATTTAAGGAATATCAGAAATATAGAGAAGCGTTTATTATGTATGTTTTGTATTGACTGGTTCTTTGGATTCTCAAATATTGCTGTGCTAAAGTTGGCTTAGCGAAAGAAACATGTCAAGAAAATAAGAAATTACCGAATAACAAAGAAAATATGAAGTTCTGTTTAATGAGCCTTTTTAATCTAAGCATGTGCTTGAAATAACTTTTATGAGTAATTTACATATTTTTTAACTAATATTAAATATTATTCAACCACATATATCAAATATAAGATATCCTATTTAATAAAGCATATACGACCATATTCAGAGACAATACAGTTTAAACCCTGTTTAAACGTTTAAATGCAGGAAATTACAAGATGGTGATTTGGAGGTACTACTAATGGGATAATAATTATTAAAATTCCCAGAAGAGTAGGTTGAATGCTTAAGGAAAGAATGGAAAAGAAACGTAGTAAAAATTGTTTTAAACTAATATAACATAATTTTTTAACTGTTAATTAAAATGACTGTGCCACAAAACACTCACTTATAAAAATGACACACTGAGATTAAATAAATGAAATTCAGGAAAAGCATCCAGAATCAAAAGCTGCTCAAAGAAAAAATAAGTGGAAATTTGTCAAATCCAATTGCGACTATCCTTGGTTCACAATATGATCACATTCTGTTGTCTCTTACTTACATAATATATGTGAAGATGGTCCCACTGCATATTCTCTCTTAGAATAATGTCGGATTGCGTTGGTAGCACGAGATGCAAGACGAAACTGTAAACAGAAAAGTTAAAAAAAGGAATAGGAGTAAATGTATGTGAAAATGTACGCTGCTCGTTAACAGCGGAGTCTGAGTTCAAATGTTTACCTTTCTGATCAGAAAAAGTACTACTGACTGACCAGATAAAGAAAAGTTCTTCCAGTTAGGGGTGGGGTGTTACCTTCTTTACAGCTAATTGTCGTTGTCATGACTTAAACCTATGACATCTTGTTGCATTTTTGATATGATCACTTTTCAATGCCCAAATAATCATTAATTTGTATATTCTAATGTTTGTATTAATTTTAAGATTTTAAAATGAATTTATATCAGATCAATACCAGGCACTGTACGGATTCAAAAAGAGCTCTTCAGCAATTGAAGCGGCAACAAATGTTCGTTCTGTCTATAGAAATGAAGCTTTAAGCATTTTACCATTCCAACGATAGTTTAACCAATTTCAATCTGGAAATTTTAGCAAAACAGTTCAATACAAATCACACTTCGATCATAAAACACATTCATGAACTCGGAAAAGTGTTTAAACTTTGTCAATGGGGTCATTGCTTTTCAACTTAATATAAGAGATTTTTTTCCGCGTCACTGAAGAGTAGACTTGCCACCGAACTTTTCCTTGGTAAAATTATTATGGTGATCATATCCAACGAAAATGACAATGGTGAAAAATGAGAATCCATCCCAAACCAGGAATAAACTTTGCTCTGTTTTTGTAAAATATAAAATGGTGATCATGAAGTCTAACCAAAAACAAAACAGTTAATGAAGAATGGTGCAAAATGTTAATCGTAAAGCCGTATCACCAGTTATGTCAAACATGCGAGCCTTTAACCAGGAATAAAATACTAATTTGGCCATTTAACAGCCAAAATTGCAGTTTTTATCATTTAGGAATTACAGTACTTATGAAAATAAATCACATATTTGTTTTTTACATATGATTTATTTTAATAGAATATCAAATAAGAATACAATTTACTGCATAAATTTATTTAAAATAATTTTAATATTATCGACAAACTTTATGTTAGTACGGTATTAAGCTATTATTTTAAAAATTGTAGCAAATATTCTTGGTGTCTGGAAAAATAGCGCGGGAACAAATTCTCTCTAGTATCCATGCCACTAGCATCACAAAAACAATATGGCAGATCATTGAAAACAGAAAACTTTCTTTCAAAATTTCAAAAGTTTTTGCTTTTAAATATCAGAAGCGTTATCAAAATTGCTTTATCTTTTTCTACTGTTAGCTGTAACCAGTAACTTTTCAGATTCTGCGTCAAAAAAATTAAAATCAATCCTAGAATGTTAAAAAAAAGGAAATTGAGTGAAGAAGGGCAAAGTGAATTGGAAAACAAAAAATTCATTGTTTAATTTGCATTACGCCAAAAGAGAGTAAACCTGAAAATATAAAACGTCGAAATATGTCCCAAATGTGACGTTTCGGTCTAACTTGACAAAGCATCAGATTTTTTACGAAAATTCAGAAACAGAATGTCGCTTCCGTTACTGCAAGCTATGAACTCAACAGAATGTCAGCATTTGAAACAAGTAAAGACATTTCGTAAAGCAATGCATAAACTAAAATAGTCAACAAAAAGGTGTCAAGCTTCATAAAAAAAACTAAAACTTCTGAATAGTGTCAAAATAAATTCAGTTTTTTACTGGACAATAAGATTTGTTGCTGTAGCAAACTGCAAGTACATAAAAATTTTATTTTTTATCAAACACTTCATTATCAGCGAATCTGTTTAAACATTTGATCACATTGTCGTTTCTAAATTTAAGCAACAATAATTTCTGCAATAAATTTTAATAATTAACTGCATTAATAATGTAGTCATCTTCAAATATTGTTTTTTCTGTATTTTTTATTTCATACTGTCGGATTTATATCCATTAAATAATTTTTTGTCTATTTTAAGTAAGTTCTTTTCATATTATCTGATCTAATCACATTAAAATACAAACCCATATTGATACATGTTTAAATCCAATCTAAGCTTTACTTTTTATCAGAGATGAAGATTTAAAATCAAACAACAACGGACGAAGCAACAATGACGAGAAAATTTCAATAGAACGACAAACTCATATATACGAGAATCGGAATTTTACGTCGAACTGAAAAATTTTAAGTATGAACTGTTGGTATTCAAAAATTCAATTTTTTTTGTATCATTTTCGTGGATTTGCATTATATTCTTATTCTGTCCTGGAAGGACTTTACCTGGATTCTATCCTCTTGGGAATTGTTGAGGATGTAATATATATATATATATATAATTGTTTCAAAAACAAAATTCTGTATTCCAACATCAACGGAAGAGATCAGCGTTCTGTTTAAATATGATCACGTTTTTTGTTGTTATAAAAATTTTCAATCGACTTTTTTATAAAAAGTTTTTCCGTTGAAATTTTTGGAAATCATCTCGAAAGTCCTTCCGTTAATCAAATCCAAAAAATACGATCTTAACAACATCGCCCAAATCGAGACGACTAAAATTCTGAATATGCATGATCATATTTAAAAAAGACAGAACGTTCTTTAAATATCTGTATAAAATTTCATACCATATATTATCTGTTTGAATTACTTTATAACGTGGAAGATTTCAAGCTTGGACGAGAATAATAGATCAAGTAAGATCGTCGAACTGTTTTAAATTGTTATTTGCAAGTTATAATGTTAATTTCAACATCAACGGAAGTTTTTAAAAATTTTCAATCGACCATGAATTTTAATTTTAAATCAGACCGTCTTAACAACGTCCGAGACGACGTCGACTTTAAAATTTCAATCTGTTTAATAATGCATATTCAGATCGTTTTGTTTTTGTTATAAGTTATGTTTAAATGAAAATGTTTCTTAAATAGACCAAAACGTCCGACGTTTTATTTATTATATATATATATATATTTGTATTTTTATTTTTTTCAAACACGATTTTATATATATATAAGGACCCAAACACCAGAATGATAAACCCTACTACACCCGGCATAGGAAAGATAAGCAAAAAAATCCTGGAAAGGATCACTAGCCAAATTAAAAAAACACCTTGGATTAACACTCTGGATTAACACCAAAGAAGTCATAAACTGGTTTACCAACATCGACAATAAGCTCGACTGCACCCTAATTCAGTTCGATATTTTCGATTACTACCAGTCAATATCAAACGACCTCTTCACGACTGCCCTGGAGTTTGCTACAGTATATTCTGACTTAACTAAGGAAGAAACAAACATAATTCTCAGTGCAAAGAAATCTGTCCTCATCCATAATGGGGACCAGTGGATTAAAAACACTAATGACAACTTTGACATCACCATGTGATCTCTAGACTCGGCAGAATCTTCGGACCTTGTCGGTCTATTTATAGTGTACAATCTAACCGCCCACCGTGAACTAGACATTGGGGACATCGGGCTATACAGAAATGACGGGCTCATGGTAGTGAGGAGCTCCACAAATTTTAAAACAGAAAAAATTAGAAAGATAATTTATAATGAATTCGGAAAACTAAATTTAAAAACAATAGTCAACACTAAATTAAAAAGAGTAAACTTCCTAGACGTAACCCTAGACTTAACGAACAACGTTCACCTACCTTACAGAAAACCTAATACTAATCCCCTGTATGTACACCCTAAGTCAAACCACCCTCCATCTATAATTAAGCATATACCCACATCAATAGAGAAAAGAATCAGTATGAACTCAGCAAATAAAGAAATATTCCGACAACACAGTAGTTTTTATAACACAGCCCTGAAAAAAACGCTGACATAACCTATAGAAACGATAGTACCAATAATAAGAAAAACAGGAAAAGAAAGATCATCTGGTATACCCCTCCGTACAACCAAATGGTCAGCACCAAACTAGGCCATAAGTTCCTAGCGTTAATTGAAAAGCACTTTCCCACTAATAGCAAACTTAGCGAGATCTTTAACAAAAATACCTTAAAATTGAGTTACAGCTGCACTGTAAATCTAGAAAGAATCATAAAAAGACATAATAAGAAAATCCTAGAAAAACACGCATGCCAAAGCAGTAATAAAACACATAAACTAAAATTAGATAAAAATAACGAAAAATTGTGATTGCAGAAACCCTAAAAACTGCCCGTTGGAAAATAAATGCCTCACAAAATCTGTGGTATACCAGTGCACTATCTCATCCATTGAGAGTCCTAACACTGATAGGATATACATAGGCTCAACGAAGAATAATTTTAAAATTAGATGGAGGCAACACAAGAGCTCCTTCAACAATATTCAAAATAGAAATCAGACATCTCTATCCCAATATTTCTGGCATCTAAAAGAAACGAATAAAACACCAAAAGTAAAATGGAAAATAGTAAATAAAACAAGAACTTGTAAAACCTGGGATGACCCATGCCCTTTATGCCTACACGAAAAACTACACATCATTAAATTTCTAAATAATGAAAAATTATTAAACCATAGGCAGGAGTTAACGTTTTTTTTTTTTTGCCGACATCAACAAACTTTCGCATTAAATAATTAGCATAAAATTTTTTTTTTTTTTTAAATCTCATAGCTTAATAAAAGTTTTAAAAGCTTAGCCAAATCATTAAATAGGAAAAACCCTTTCTGTAGTCGTCAAAAAACAAAAAAACAAACAAATTGAAATTCAGAGCAATACGGTTTGTATATAAAACACCCAGTTGAATAAACAAATAAATAAATAGATAATCAGATGGACAATAATAAAAGACAATCATCCCGACACATAACGACTTGTAGGCGCGCCATAAAAATATCCCTCACTGGGAACTAATTAGAGGATGACCGCCAACATTAGCCTTGAAATAGATACCCTACCCAACCTTAGCAAAACCTCTCAGAAGATGATGGATCTATAGATAAGAATTAACTCTTTGACCACTTAACGAAGAAAACTAGTCTAACTAGAATGTTATAACGGACCATGCCTAAAAACACACGTAAACCAAGAGATAGCTTATTCCTAAAATTTCGCTTGAAGATGAAACGGGACTAAACACCTCAATTCAACTGAATTTTAATAATTATTTGGATGGTTTCGGCTCTCGTTTTTGAAACATGAGAATTCTTATGTAACGAAGGAATCATATTTTTAAACAAAAAAATATTATATATATATATATATATATATATATATATATATATATACTGACCACTAATATTATCAAGCTATATATATATATATATATAATAGCTGACCACTCATATTCGAGAATACCTATCTACTAGTGCTTGCTCAGGCACATTTGTGTTTGTTCAACACCCACAGAGCCTACCTGTGTCTTGTGACTTCGTGCTATCACAGCTATCGACGGTTCTCCAAGTGTTCCGTCTACACAATTTTTACTTTAAATTGAATTGAGTCCTCCGAGTTGCTGGCGTATTTTGTATAAAGAAAAACGTTAAAATTCCCTTTTCTGCCCTGCGACAATGGCCTCGAGGTAAGATATCTGACTGATGTCAAATCAGTCGTGTTTCGATCCCGGCTTGAAGCAATCTTACGTCTAGCCACACAGTCTGTTTGTTTGTGGATGCCTATATATATATATATATATATATATATATATATATATATAGGCATCCGTGTGTGTGTGTGTGTAATGGACTCTAACGTACGATGATCCGACAACCTCATTCCGTTTTTGTTTGTGTCGTATGTGACACTTCAGTCCCACTATAGACCTGCATACAACTCCACATATTGGCCTGTAAGTTCGCATAATGACCTGCATACAGTCCACACACACACAAGCATTATATATATATATGTGTGTGTGTGTGTGTGTGTGTGTGTGTGTTTATCATACATCAGAATTATTCAAGGACTGTTCCATGTTGAGGGGTTTCTGAGGGAGCTGACATTTTTGTCAAGAAAATTGAAAAACAATTTTGAAAAGACATATTTTTCATTTTTTTTTTTGTAGTTTAAATTATAAATATTCGATTACTCTGACTTTATGCATGGAATTGATCGATACTGGGAATCGATCGAGAAATCAAGGTTTTATCTTTTTGGTGGCTCTTGGATGACTGAACTGATTTCTCTCAGGTTTTTTTTTTTTTTTTTTTTGAGGTAGTAAAAGAAATTATTTTAATTAATTATTAATAGGAAATGATTTCATGATTAGGCCATTGTCGATCTGTCACCATGACATTAGTAGTCATTCATGTGTGCGTATGTGTAAGAAGGTAATCCGATAAAATCTTTACTTTCAGGAAAATTAATGTCTGCAATCTAGATTGGTCCTTTAAATTTTTGGTTATATATACAGAGAGAGAGAGAGAGAGAGAGAGAGAGAGAGAGAAAAGAAAATGCACAAAATTTGTCATAGGTAACGAAGTGTTGATAGAAGAAAAATCCACTTACGAGGTCGGTCAAATCGTTGGGTGGTTTGAGTGTGTATCCCCATGGGTACATCCACAGCTGTCCGTAGGCATGGAGGCTGATGTAAGCTACAATATCTCCCTCGTTCATCCTCATCACATTTGCCAAAGCCATACTTTCAGGTTCAGACAGAGCTGTGACACCGGCATATTCGACACTGCAAGGATCTTCACTGGATCCGATCTCTGAGATAAAATAAAAAAAAAAACATCACCGTTGTGGTGAACTTTAAAAATACAACAATGATGACAAAATTGTTCCACTTGTTTTCCAAAACAATTTCTGCTAAAGACCGCTACATGACACTGTAAAAAATAGTATATAAGAAAGGGCACAAAAGTATTTGTATTTTTTTCTCTCTTTTAGTCATAGAGATTAGGAGATATCCTGTTTTCCTCCAGGAATACCTTTAGTCCCCAGGAAGCCACACATCGAATTGTACATAGAACGGAATAGTACGCAGCATACAAATATCATAAGCTTACCTAACTATACACAGGCATATTTAATAATTCTACCAAACCAACAAAGTACTTTATTAAATACCAAATACAGTAGACATTGTTCCTCTCCATGCTATCCCGTGGTAAAGGAACAAATATTGTAAAGGATAATTTGTGAGTTAATTTCATGCTGCGTGCCCAACAACCATTAAATAATACAGTCATAAAAAATGGTTGGGAACATGAATGGACATATATAACAGTTTCGATATTTTTGAAATGTAGTTGGAACGTTATACTGAATTCAGAATATTCACTCTTATTAATATCAATATAAAAAAGAATCCTAAGTTAGATTTAACAGTCATCAATGACAAAATTTTTAGGGTAAACTGACTTTAAATATGCAATTGACTTACCATTCCAGTGGTTGGGGAAATTTCGGTTGATATCAACACCAATGCAATTGTAATAATTGGATGAACGAGATCGCGTCTTTCGCCAAAGTCGATCCTACAGTTAAAGATAATATAAATATACAATAATATCAATTGTATATGCAATTTCAAGTGAAAATGAATAATTAATATCAATAAAATAGAAATAGAAATTATGAAGATAACGGGGACACAAAACCAACTTGTTGAAAACTTTTACTTTCATCGTCGCCTGTAAAAAGATTTGGTTGTGTTCGAAGAATTGTTATTTTGATGTAGCTGTTTAATTAAATTTTATTTGAAATCCAACAATGATAAAGAAAGTTTTATGGCGGCAATATTTTCCAAAAGAAAAGTAATTTTCTGAAACTACTTAATTTTTTAACTTACAAGATAAGAAAAGAAATGACAAATGTATACACAAATGTAGTGCGTATATATATATATATATATATATATATATAAACATAAAACATTAGGCAGCATATGATTTACATACAAAGAATAATCACACATAGAATTAATCAGAAGTATTAATGCGATTATTGGCGACATCCATCGCTAGAAAACATAATATATGCATTAAAATCCTGTTCATCCAGAGTGCGAGTTTTGATCCTTGAAGAAAAACTTGTTGTCTGTAGTTTTTCAGTTTATTTGATGTTAAAATGCTAGTACTTACGGACGGCCTTCCATCCATCATCAGGCATGTGTTGTTTATCTTATAAAATCAAAAACTTGAGACGATATATCTGTATGTCGACCGAAAGATGTTTTTTGAATATCTGCTATTGTTGACGGGTGTGTAAGATCGTGGAACGCGCAAAGACGCAACGCTAAATTTTCAAAATTTTTAAGTGAGAATTTTATTTAAATCACAAGAAATATTTAAATAAAATTCTCACTTAAAAATTTTGAAAATTTAGCGTTGCGTCTTTGCGCGTTCCACGGATCAAAACTTCGCACTCTGGATGAACAGGATTTTAATGCATATATTATGTTTTCTAGCGATGGATGTCGCCAATAATCGCATTAATACTTCTGATTAATTCTATGTGTGATTATTCTTTGTATATATATATATATATATATATATATATATATATATATATATATATATATGTTTGTGTGTATGTGTGTGTGTGCATATAAGTGGTGGTGGGTGAAAACTCAAAAGAAAAGACTGAATGGAAATCGAGGAAAAAATGTTCAAATCAGCACTGTAACAAACTTGCACCATTACCAGTTGATCGCAATGTCAGCAATATGAATTCATAAATTTATCAACATTTTCTGTCTGTTATCATTAATGCATTTGACTTACATAATTTCGGGTGTATTCGTATCCATCTGGATTGAGTATAGGAACAAAGAACCAATCAAAATAATTCAGTAACATTTTGTTCACACGCTTATTGGTGGGATTTATGGCCAACTGAAAATGAATAAAGTAAAATGAATAAAAGAAAGTTACATGAAGTTAATCATAAATATATGCATTTAATTAACTTTCCTTACTGACTTTCACTCCTTTTGAACGCGCTTTATTGTTTTCTGAGTTATCTATCTATCTATCTATCTATCTATCTATCTATCTGATGGATTCCTACATATAAGAAAGCTTGTGATTGAAGATCTTATGACATTTATTTTCTTATCTGAAGATTCCGTTGGATGAAACTATTTTTAGTGAGTGTGAAATTAAGTATTTTTGTAACTTTTCAATTAATGCAGCTTTGCTTTCAAGTATTGTGCACTTTCTCTAACAGTCGTTTTACGGAAGGGTGATTTAAACATTTTAGAAAATTTAATATTGAATATGAATATACATTTTTTCCTCACCGGTAGCAAAACTCGGAGTTTCATACACAACGCAATCTTCAGGTTAGTTGAGATACAATTTAGCACCTGAAGATTACATTGTACATGAAACTCCGAATCGTGCTAGCGTCGAGGAAAATGTATATTGATTTATTAATGTATAGTTTATAGCTCTGTTATATTGCACCGGGCACTATTTTTTAACACCAGCAATTTTTTTTATGTGCAATATTATATATATATAGATCTGTGCGTGATATAAACTATGCAAATAACACACTGTGCCTATCTATTTTGCTAGCTAGCGACTGGTATTAAAAAGTTATGTCTGATCAAGTAACCCTACTACAAAAAAAATCAATCTAATGTTCGAGCAGATTTGGGTGAGTGGATTGAACTACTAAAATTTGGCACCATCCATCTGTGTACCAATAGTAATTGTATAACATTATGCATTATGTGGCGACATTGCATATTGACATCATATAAATGTTATCAATGCTTTGACACTTGATGAGTCAGCACGTCTGCTCATGTCAAGGTGACGTGACTTTGAACAGGACATGATAGTGGATGCCAGACTGATGGGATATTTAACATTCCTCAATCTACGATGTCATGTGTGTACCGAAAAGGAAGGCGTTACTATCCACCGTGGAAAGCGCAATACCTGACTATAGGTTTTTAATGAACGCCTGGCTAGAATTGTTTGCAGTAACAGGCAAATGCTAGGAGCTCAAATCACATCCACATTCAATGAAGGGTGTACTATACGCATATCCATCAGGTCAGTTGCCCATTCTTTAGTTTCCATGGGGTATGGAAGCAGAAGAACCATCAGCGAGCGCATATTAACAGGCAATCATGGCCCTCCACCTCCTCCTGTCCCTTGTAGCTCTTAATAAGTTTTGTCTTTTTGTTATTTCTCCCAGATCCTGTTCTGCTATCCACTTGCTCAAGCCCATTAAGTATGCCACGCGTTGCTTTCATCTGTCCCTCTTTCCTTCTATCCATCCTGTGAATATCAGATTTTCCAAGCCCTCCATCCTCATTACGTGTTACAGAAATTTTAACTGCCTCTTCCTGTATAAGCTTCCACGTTGTTTCCATTCTCTCCAGTGGCTCAGATGTTCGGCCCATGTTATTCTTAGCATCCTTCTGTAGAACTACATTTCTGCTGATTCGAGTCTCTTCTTCATCCTTGTCTTATACCCCTTTCTATTTCTGTGTATCTGCTGAACTCATTTTCTATCCGTATGCAGGCGGTTTGCTGCCAGTAGAGATTTTTGATTATTCTAATGTCTTTCCCGAATATGTCAAGGTTGCTGAGCATTTATAACAGATCTTTGTCGAACATCTTTGCGTATTCTATAAAACACAGGTACACGTCCTTCTGCATTTGTATTGAACTTTCTGATAACATTCTGATCATAAATATCGCGTTCCTTGTTTCGGTATCTTTGATGAACCCGCACTATTCTTGTCTGGTCTTATTCTACTACGCGCTCTATTCATCAGAATTCGAATGATAAGTTTTGTCATGTGACTCATTAGTTTGATTGTTCGGTGAAGTTCACATTCATTTGCGCCTGGTTTCTTAGATAGTGCTATGAAAATAGTTCTGCTTAGGTCTTCCGGTATGTCTCCATTGTTGTAGATTTCATTTATTATTTCTGTTATCTTGCCTATGCATTAATAGATATTCTGGCAGCCGTAGACGATTTCGTCTAAGGCTGACAGCATATCTATTACAATTCCGTCTGGCCCTGCCGCATTGTTTCTGTTCAGTATTTCTGCCGGTTGTTCTGTTTCGTCGTGAGAGAGATCTCCAATATATTCGTTCCAGCGCTGAAGAATTTTTTCTTTCTCTAATATGAACGTTCCGTCCTGTTGATGAGCATGTCTTATGTCGTGTTAGTTTCCTTATTTGTTTATGCATATCTCCTTTATCTGTGATGCTCATTCTTTCTATTTCTGCACATTTTTCGTTGAGCCTACCTGCATTTGTTCCTTATTTCATTGTGTAGTTTTCTGTATTCCGTTCTATGTCTATGTATCATTGTTTTCTGTCTCCTTTGCATCATGTCGAGAATCTCGTCTGTGAACTATTTCGTTTTTTCTTCTTCACCCATTCTTCTTTGTTACATTGCCTAAATACATCATTAGCCATTCGTGGATTTCATGTATCCCAACAATGATAGGTCGCTCCAGTACGATTACGGACTCCAAATTGTTTAGAATTGGTTTGAGGGGCATTCTGGAGACTTCCTATGAATAGTGTGACTAACATATGCTCATCCGACATGTGCCCAATGAAGATCTTATGGAGCGTGCTGGAAAGGTCTTATTCGTACATTAAATCCTGCACCAACAAATACCAGGGACATGTGTATAGCTATTGAGACAGCATGGATTGACATCTTTGCGGAGGTCTTCCGATTGATCGCTGTGTTAGATGTGATTCGATGAAATATTAGACACTTATCCTATGACTTCTGGCACACAATATCTGTAAGGTGCGCAGGGTAACTGAATATAAATTATAATATAAAGACAAGATAAAATTCAATAAAAAAATCAGTAACTTTTTAAAAATGATTGTTATCCATGTTCAACTTTTAAAACGTAAAAGAAAATAAAAGAAACTATTATAAAACCTCAGAGTCACGAGAACGACATCGAAAGTAATTGCGCGCTCAATTCATTTGTTTCTTTTTGTTATCACTTTCACGTTGGTGAGCTTTAATGAGTCAATATTGCTGGACCGATAGTTGATCTCCGCCTCGACAACGCCCTTGACGTAGTAGGTCACGGGATTCAAGTTAGGAAAGCTAGAGTGTCACTTGTTATTTGGAAAAGAGCAAAGTCTTGCTGGAACACGTACGGCCACACTCTCGATCCAGGGCCTGGTCATTGTCTAGTAGTAGGCGACGAGGATATAGAAAGAGTGAGGCGCCGTTGTATGAGATCCCATAGGACCATCAGAAGATTTCGGCCTTGTACCACATAAGCTACGCTTAGTAAATTACTAAATTATGAAGCGAGTTTTAGCACAAAGTCTACGAATACATATATATATATATATATATATATATATATATATATATATATGTACAGGTTGAGCCCCGTGTTCATAACTGGGTGAAATTAATTTTATTTTATTAGAATAAAATGAAAATGCTGTAGCAGTAAGGAAAGAAAAATAGGAGAAAAAACTCTGCTCTGGAAATATTAGGCCCACTCACAGCGATAACTAATGTTCATGAGCTTATAAATTCCTTTCTAAATTAATGCCCAACAAAAATGATCTTTGGAAGAAGTTAATTTGATCCAGGAAATATCTATTTTGCATAATATTTCAATTGCTGTGTTTTCTGTGATCACTTCAAATTTAAGACACTCGAAAGTGAAAAATCAAGATATATTTCTAATTTCGGGGAAAATTAGGATAACTTTCTTTAGATAAGTTTCAGTCTTTACACTGAAGTAAACCAAATATACATATCTTTTTTTAACACGGTATGAACAGATATTGAACCTTAATCGTGATAGAAATCGCTAAAATGAATGAATGAGAGGTTGTGTGTGTGTGAGAGAGAGAGAGAGAGAGAAAGAGTGAGAGAGAGAGAGAGAGATAACAGAAAACAGATGAAAATACTGGCATTATTTCCTCATCTGTGAATCGGTAAGTTACTGATAGTTCTGTAAAGACAAAGTCGATTTTTATTTACTCGCTATCACACAAGCAAGGCAGTAAATCCACTAAAACACAAGGGGCTGGAAGAATTAGGAACGCAAACATTAATAATGAACCAAAAGAGAAAAGAGTAATAAGGAGGACAGTAGATAGCAATTGACATTGTATTTAAATTTTTGCTGATTAAAGTTTGCCGGAAAGCATGGAACCGAAGGGGAATTCCACAGGCAAGAAATGCGAGAAAAGAAACTGTTAGCATAGAACTTACGGCTACATCTAGCCAGTTTAACTGTTAATTGCTGAGATCTCGGTGCCAGTCTAAGTACCATAGCGAAGAGCTCATCCGAACAATTACGATGAAAGTATTTATAAAAAAGACACAGGGAGGCAACTTTACGGCAGTAGGAAAGTGACTGAAGCCGGGGCGTCAGATCAGGACCAATAATATTGCTGATTCTTCTTTGGATTTTATCAAGGAGCTCTAGGTAAATAGCAGGAGTACCGGACCGTATGTGGTAGCAATATTCTAAGCATGGACTTGTAAGATAGATTTTGGAGAGAAACATTGTCTCGCACGACACGGTGAACCGATTGTAATGAAAATACTTACCTCATAAATGAAGTAGAGAATAACAGAAATTGAGATCCATTCTCGGCCGTGCATTCCAGCGTCGATGAGGATGATTAACTTTTGATAGCGTTTTTTGGGGGCGGATAACTGAAAATATATGAAAACTTAATCGAGAGTTTTCATCCTAAAGGAGATTGGTAAAATTATTATTATTTTTAGTGGTCGACGTGAAATTGCTGATTTTAAAGTTTGACGCTTTAATGCTTTTCCCAAGACAAATAATATTCTAAATTGATACTTAATTTTAAATAATATATTTATTAGAAATTTTCTCATAATTTAATTTCCTTCTGTTAATATTTTTTAGACAATAATGGAAAGCCTTTTTTTGCATGTCATAGTTCAAACGACGATTTTCATTATATGTCTGTGTGTATGAACGCGCGTGCGCGTGTGTGCGTGAGGAAGAGAGAGAGTAAAACTAGCAAACGATGAAGATTTGAAAGCTGTAGTGTAATTTGAAGCTGAAATATATCAGAACTCTTTACAAATTTCAATGTATCTCTTAGAATTATTTCATATCATTTGAAGGTTTTAATTATTTCAACAGACAAGAACTTTTCATACCGAATTAGATCGAAAGAGATTTCAATGAATTTGTTTGTTTTTTTTAATGAAGAGTTCTTTAGGAAGGAATTAACGACTTGCTGTCAAAGTGAATAAAGAAATATTTTGATTGAATAAGCACTATTTTGCAATGTTAATTGATTGATGGTTAATTGTTTATGGTTTATCAACCCTTTGTTGGGTATTTAAAGCCGAAACACATTTAAGATTGTAGGAGGTTGCTTATAGTAACCGGTGTTCCGAAGCGGTCACCCATTTAAGTACTGACCGGGTTCGACGTTGCTTAACTTTGGTGACCAAACGAGAACCAGTGTTTTCAATGTGAAAGCTTTTTTACGTAAGCTGTTTTGCAATGAGTTGTTTTCAAATGAAATAATTCATCATTTTCACATTTAACAGCTTAATAACAGTGAATTAATAATGGAAAGAAATGTATTTGTTTTTTACTTACCCGTAACATCTTGATATCACGTCCCTCTGAAGAACGACCAATGCTGAAGATGTTGCACAGGGCCTTGGACTCTGAGCATACCGAATCCAAAAATGCATAAATCTATGAGTAGACAATAATTTGACACCAATTTGGACACCAGAAGAAAACTCAGAAAAATCGACTAAAATCAATGATGCTAAGAAAAGTTCATCGATGGGGACAAAACATGGAATACTGATATAAGTATACACTCATTTTCAGTGTTCTTTGTAAAATTTTCATGTATTTAAAAACATAACAATTTGGATGTTATCAAACTGTTGAGAAAGAAAACTAAAGTAATTCAGTTAAAAGTCAACAAAAAAATTAGATAAAATGACAAAATGCCTATGCGAATCATTTTACAATTCCGGAAAAATTTTGAAGAAAACAGCTGACTTGAACAAAAGAAAAAAAAATGATTAATACCCACTCAAGATGACGATTTCTTAAAGGCGTTTTTTAGTTGTTTTTCATAGAAACAAAAAGGTATGCTTTTTGTTTGACACAACTAAATTGCCAATAAATATAATGGAGGACAGAAAGTGATATCGAATATTGGTAAGAAAAAAAAGTTAAGATTTTCATTTCTAACACACGTAACATGGTGATAAAACAAATGGGTTATTTTATGATGATATGATCAAAAAAGGTACCCATAACAGAGAAACGAAAGAATTGTCCTCACTTGTTTGGTTGACTGATAGGAATATAAGTTGAAGTGGTTGGAAGACCGCTTGTGGCGATGGTGCGTGTTATCTCGCTCGGTGTGCATAAGTCTGCCAAAATAAATGCAAAAGATAAAAGAAAAAAGAATATTCTTGACAATACATGTTTATTTACATAACTCAGCCAAGATTTAGCGTAGATCATTAAAGATAATGGAGGAAAGGTAATTTACGTGTTATCACAGATAACTCACAGCATTTGGCTAAAGACGTCTCATTCACTGCTGTGGTGTTTGACTGCCTCTTAGGCTTCTGATGGTTGATATTTAATACAGTGTAATCAGAAATTGCAACATATTTTCGTTTTTTCAAAAATATGTTCGATCAAGTAAAATGTTCCTATTGTTATCAGGTGACACAACTTCATGTCAAAAATCCAACTCCTCTTCATGTCTGAAACCCAATACCAGAGATTAGAAACTTGGATTTATTTTTAAAAAATGGATTCCTTACCACCTTCTAAAATCCTCAGCTTCCATCAGGATAACATGGAAAAAAATGAAATAGCATGAAAGCAGAAAAAGTTACCACTTGTTTCTTCTTATATTTGTTGGTCGAAATGAACGAGATATTTATTCGCTTTTCACTTTCGATACACCCAAAGATAAAACAAATCTTCAAATGTCTGCTCGACGCAAATTGCGAGACGAGAAAGAATTTAACATTTTTCAGGCACAAATACTTCATTGTAAAATAAGTAGATAATCAAAAGTTCAATGATTATGTGATTGAACTGTGACATATAGTTCAATAATATGAATTTGGTAATAACACCGATAGTCTTATTAATGTGTAATAAAAGACATAAGATTAAAGAAACGTCTTCTAAAAGAACTAGACATGACTTTAGAAAAAGCTGTTCAATTTGGATAACCGCTGAAGAAACATGGCTCCAGCCTGCTTTCCTGTTTTGAGAAAAAATAGAGTGACTGCTAAAAACAAAAAAGTAAAAAATAATTATTGTGGCAGATACAGATTTTCAGCCAATTCTCGACGAAAAGATCGTGCGATAAATTAAATTCAGAAATTCAGCATGCAAATTTGTTAAAAGAATTTGACAACTGTTTTAGTGAAATCGAAACCTTGCAGTCCATTCACCGCATAACTATAAACCCTGAAATTAATAGTGTTATGCATCTCACCTTAGAAAGATTACGTTTGACTTTAAAAAAGAAATTAAAATGATATTAAACTTAATTGTAAAAGAACTTATAGATTGGGTTAACTTGCTCGGGATTGTGGAAAAAGTTAACGGAATCCTATGCCTTTGTTTAGATGTCAGTGCAATAAAAAGGGAGCATTTAAAACTCCACAGAGGAAATTTTTACATGAATACACAACTCTAAATAATTATCAAAACTTGATGTTTCAATCGAATATTGGCAAATTGCAATTGATGAAGAAAACTTTTGCCTTCTAACTTTTAATGTACCTTTCGAAGATATCATTTTACAAGTCTACCTTATGGAATTTCCAGCGCAAGTGGAATTTTCTAAATGGACGTTGTAAAAATTTTTGCTGGAATCGTAGGAAGAAAAAACTCTCAAGATGTTGTCCACTACTTTAGCAGAAAATACAAACTCATTTTCAACCGATTTCCTAAGCATGATTTAAATCCAAAAGCATCCACCTCCCTTGCTTTCGAATTAACGACGCCATTACATCAACCTCTACAGATTGATACCTCATGCTCATTTTATAAGCTTCACATTGAATATCAAAGTGAAGGAAATAATCACAGAGAATGATAATTCCATAACCGTAATCTACCCACAAAGATTACGACAGATGATCATAGACACGGACTCGTAGTATGACGATAACAGGATGGGTCTATCAGTAACAGTATAATAAAGAGGGGGTTTCAGTACCAAGTACCAATTATGATATAATACCCCTTGCGAAATTGAGAACAGTTGGTCATGACAAAACTTTCTTATTCTTTGCGTTACTGCAGCCGCCCGGTCACACCTCGACTCATATGGCATGCCGTCTAAAATGAATTTCTTGAATTAGGCAGTGATTACACGGAAGCTTGTACTGCCGTGCCCGTGGTTTTAAGTAGATTCAAATGGCAAGTAGTAGAAACAGCTGAAATTCTACCAAATAGTCTGTTGGAAAGCCAACGAGAACACCAAATTAAAAAATTTAATTTTAAATAAATTGTACCGGATTCTTGTAGCAGTGAAGTAGAATTAGATTATACTTTAATATGTATTCTTAGCATCAATGCCAATAGTCATTAAGCTTGTGGCTGTGTGCGCGTAGATTTTGAGAACCAATTCGACCGGTGTGGACTTTAATAGTAGCATGGAAACCGACTCTCTCAGTGTTTTCATTGTTCTGTTTATATAGCGAACCTTGTCATTTGATGGATTTCAATCATTCGACAATCTATCGCAATTGTTAACAAAACATTTCCGCATAAATATCCTTTCGGCTATTTTCCTGGCGCAACCAAACCAGATGGCCCTATCACTTTCGTAAACTTCTAAGCTTCTCAGGTTTCTTAAAAAAACAGTGCGATTCTGGTGGGTCAGAAATTTGGGCAAACATTCAAGATTGCTGCATTAGTCTCATAAATTCTGTCAACGCATTATCGCTGGCATAACGTCACCAGCACCTACGCAGATTTTGCTAGAGTCGCTCGGGGTTCAAACCTTCTGGACGATATCTTCCAAGAGTATTTTATAGGTTAAACTTTTTTATGAACATGTTTTCAACACTTAATGGCAACGCCATTGTATCAATCCTCATTCTCCATCTAGTCTTCATTCGGATAGCAATCTTAGTTTATCCATTAAATGGTGTAGATAAAATTTTGCTGTTATAATGAAACATAACCACAACAGAAAATCACCCATTTCATTTACCTCATGCACAATGACTTTTACAAAACAGAACTCTTGTTCTATACAAAATGAACATTTAAATATTATGTTCGCCTGCAAAACGTTCCATCAGGTTATTTATGTCCCTCATTTTGTTATCGAGAACGACCATAAATTTCTTTTAAAAGAGATTTTTTCAAAACCATTCACACAGTCTCCGCCGAGAATTCGAAGATTCATACTATTTGTAAAATCAAAGAATTTCGAGCTTATTTACATGCCAGGTCGCGATTTAATTGTTGACGAAAATCTGTCTTGTATTTATCTTCAACATAATAATTCGGAAATATCTGAAACGAATATGTAAAAATGTATATGTGTTACATGCTGCAAGGTACAGCTGCTTTGTGTGATGTATACCTGTATAATTTCTCTAATTGTCTGTCTTATTTTAGGTTTGAAAGCTGTAGAGTCCTATTAATACAGAAATGTAATAACTGCTGCGTTATTACAAATGGTATAATTTTAACAGTTCCATGTTACCTTCAAAAATTTGTAAAAATAATGTTCCAGGCTGTATTAAGAAACTATTGACTTTTGCATACTAAGGCTGACGAGAATAACAGTAACTCAAATCTGTGCCATTGAATGTGCCTGCGTGTCAGTAAGTATATGCAGAGTTGACAGCCTAACAAAAATCTTATGCACTTGTTGCGGTATTACAGAGAGTCAAAATAGCAACTTGCAAGAATTTTGCTGGGGCAGCAATATTTTGTTAGTTGGTCATATTCTTGCATTTGAGTACCTCCGCACCTAACTTCATTTTACGGTCATGTCAGGCTGGGCCATGCGTGACGATGCGAAGTTTCGCTACCAAAATCTGATTCACTCTGATTCACATACACTCTTTCACCATTTTCACTTTCTTTTTTCTCGCTTGGACTTCCATGTCTTTCTCTCTTTCTTATTCCTTCATTTTTGCACTCTCATACTTTCTCTCTAGTTCATTCTCCCCACGTTTAACATTCTTATTTTTGTTAGATATATTTCTTTGTTGTAAAGATATATCTCATTTTTTTCAGTTTCTCTCATTTCTCTAATATCTATCTATCGATATATATATATATATATATATATAACTAACACCACAAATAAAGTGGAGAATAATATCAAGAGCCAGAACTCCCAAAAACTTCAGAGACAGATGATTTTAAGAAAGACTTATGCTTAAAGGAGAAAATCTTCATAATCAAACATAAAGATCCAGACATACTACTAAATAGACACAATGAACTAGTTTTTAAATGCCGGCACAAAAACAACCTAAACCTAAGCAAATACATTGAGAAATAATCATATAGGAAGAGCAATTTTGAATGTTTTGTATTCCTTTTGTTTTTAGAAATATTACTATGCACACATGAACGCTAACACATGGCTATATGTATACAACTATGGTAATGTATTTGAACACTGAGACACCTGTTGATATGTACATGTATATGTTTTTATATGGAAAAAGAAGCATACCAGGGTTTTTTTGTTTTTTTTTTGTGAGTGTGGATGTGTACAATTAGATAGGTACCTATATGTTTTGCCATAAATATGAAAGAGCGGGTAATATTATATGTGTAAAGATATGGATAATGTAATTAAATACTGAGATAGTCTTCGAACGCAGGCATAAGTGGGTGCACGGGTGGAAATAAGGATAGGGATAAGTACGTGTGTAGAAATGTGTAAGTGCAAATTAACGCATATGTGTGTATGTAGATATGCTGCATATTACGTATGTATATGCATGTATGTGTGTGTATGTATATGTATGTGTGTATGTATGTATACATATATATGTGTGTGTGTATGTGTATATGTGTATACATATAGATGTGTAAATATATATGTGCGTATGTATATGGATGTATATGGATATACAGGTGTCCTTATGTGTATATGTATATATGTAAGTATAAGTGTATATGGAGATATGTATGGAGATATATGGATATGCGTTTTCTCTGCAGGTGTATATGTGTAAATATGGAAATATACATATGGTTTTTTCGTGTGAATGTGTGTGCAGGTGTATATAGGAACTCATAGGCATATAAGAAGATATAGGTATGTGGATATAAATAGGCGTTTAAGACATGTGTAGATAAAAGATTGTAAAAGAAGGACCTAATTTTCTGCTAGTGACATCTCATCCAAATCTCTAAT